TTTGAAAAAATGGGGAAAGATGGGAATTCACAAAAAAATAGTGGGGATTTTATAACAGTTGAGGAGGGAAAACACATAAAAATCTGGCTTGTTAAGTTGGCTTCATGGTATTGAAAGGAAAATGGCGCCCGAATTTTATTATGCTTCCGAATTTTTTTTGCTCGACAACTAATAAAGCCAACTTTAGAAGCCTTGTTTCTAAGTGTTAAGGGTCTCTTAAGTGAGGGAAACACATAGAAAACTGCTGAGTTATGTTGGCTTTGTTAAATGTAAAGGGAAGGAAAGGACCAATTTTCAATTTTATTAAAAAAATCGATAAATAGTAGATTCTTTCTGGTTCTCGAACAGAGCATATGTCTCCCATATATTTCCTAAAAGCTTTACATTCATCAATTCCAGCATTCCACATATTCAAATGTGTTTTGATCCTCTAAGAGTCTGGGACTTTTAAATGCAATTTCCAAGGCTCTTATGAACTTTACTAGTTCACCGGCTCATTTCAGTGAATCGTTATATCAAAAAAATCAATAAAATATTGTATACTCATTTTAGCAGCTCAAAGAGGCTGGAACTACATAGGAGGCTGGAAAGGACAATTTTTCAATTTTATTAAAAAAGTCGACAAATAGTAGATTTTTTTCTGGATCTGGAACAGAGCATATGTCTCCCATATATTTCCTAATAGCTTTAAATTCATCAACTCCAGCACAAAAACCCATATATTCAAATGTTTTTTGAGCCTCTAAGAGTCTGGGACTTTTAAATGCAATTTCCAAGACTAGTTCACCGGCTCATTTCAGTGAATCATTCTATTAAACAAATCGAAAGTCATTTTGACATATTTGCATTTAAAGTTATAAATTTTATGATATATTTTATTTTCATATTAGCAGCTCATAGAGGCTGAAACTACATAAGAAGACTGGTGAGTTATGCTGGCTTCGAATTACCAAAGAATTCAAATACAACTCTGAAATTTGTTTCTTATAATTTGACATTTCACAAAGCCAACTTAAGAAACCCAGGTTCTATGTGTTTCGGTCTTTTTAAGGGGGAGACACATAAGTCGCTGGCGTGTTAAGCTGGCTTTGTTAAGTGTTAAGAAACTTTGGCAGAATTCAAATACAACTCTGATATTTTTTCCATTTAATTTGACATTTAACAAAATCAACTTAAGAAACTCTGTTTCCTTTTAGGGAGGAATCTATGAAAGCCTTCGTGTGTTAAGCTGGCTTTGTTAAGTGTAAAGGAACGTTGAGAGAATTCAAATACAACACTGATATTTTCCTTTTAACCCTTTCAGTGTCAAATAAAATTTTTGTCGGAATAAAAATCTAAAAGTTTGTATTTAAAATCATACAAAGGGACATAGTTTAGAAAATATAGCAATTGCCATTTTAACCCTCGGCCACTTTCGTCTGTCTTTCAGCAAAAAATAAACCATCAATAGTAACGGTACATAATATAACCGAAAAATTGCAAAGAAAGAGAGTATTTTTAAATGTCGAATATATTCGACAAAAACACTGAAAGGGTTAACTTGAAATTTATCATAGTCAACTTAAGGAACCCTGTTTCCTTTTAAGGAGGTAACACATGCAAGGCTGGTGTGTTAAGCTGGGTTTGTTAAGTGTAAAGGAACGTTGAGAGAATTCAAATACAACTCTGATATTTTTTCCTTTTAATTTGAATTTAACAAAGTCAACTTAAGAAACTCTGTTTCCTTTTAGGGAGGAATCCATGAAAGCCTTCGTGTGTTAAGCTGGCTTTGTTAAGTGTAAAGGAACGTTGAGAGAATTGAAATACAACTCTGATATTATTATTTATAATTTGGCATTTAACAAAGTCAACTTAAGAAACCCCATTTTCTATGTGTTTAGGCATTTTAGGGGCTGGAGTCTTAAACTGGCTCTGTTAAATTCTAAAGGAACGGCAAGAGAATTGAAATACAACTCTGATATTTATTTCTTATAATTTGACATTTAACAAAGTCAGCTTAAGGAACCCTGGTTCTTTTAAGGAAGAAACCCATTAAAGGCTGTGTGTTAAGCTGACTTTGTTAAGTCTAAAGGAACGTTGAGAGAATTGAAATACAACTCTGATATTTCCTTGTAATTTGACATATAACAAAGCCAACATAACAAACCATATTCCTATGTGTTTTCAAAATTTAATTTAAATTTAAATGATTTTTTTTTTCAAATCCCAACGAAAACCTTTCTCCAAGTGTCACACAATTAATTTTTTTTAAACAATATTCTACCAACTTATTATTAAATTATTTTCATGCTATAATTAAATATTTTTGTTTTGTAGTTTTCAAACTTAACTAAATAATTTTTTTTATAAAGAATTTTAAAACAAATCTACAAAAATTTATTTAATAGAAAAAAATAATACTTTTGGCATAGCAAAATAAATTACTAATTAATAAAAAATTTTTAATAATAATAATATTTGTTTTTTAAGTTAAATGTTAATGTTACCAATAACATGACACAGCAATGAAAGTGATATTATTTATATATATTTTTTTTGAAATAATAAAAATAATAACTAATCGTTTTTTAATACCAACTAAATGTTTACAACTTAACAAAAATGAATTACTTTTTATTAAACATAAATTGATTTTGATTATATCTTTAGAGTTTTTCCAAAAAACATAGGTGGTGGTGGTGGTTTAGAACGTAACGTAAATTTAAATTACAAATTAATAAAAATTATAATAATAAATTACAAAAAAGGGGTTTTCATTAAAGCAATCAGAAGAAAATTAAAGGGTTAGAAATTAAAGTAATTGAAAATAAATTACTACAAACTTAAAAAAGTATATTACTTTATAAAGTCAAAAGACAAAGTGAAGAGGATAAATGGTATAGATTTCAAGGATATTTACCATTGCAGAGAAATCTTGGCTATTAATTTCAAAAAATTATTGTTCATTATGTCATATACAAATTTTATATAGAATATAATTGTTATTCTACCTTGATATTGATTATTTTTCCTTAACAAAACTCTATTCCACATTTTCATTTCGTTTTGCTAAGAAAAAAATCATTAAAAAATTTAATTCCTGTCGATATTCACCAATAGCCACAATTCGATCTATAAAATCCTACCTCTCATTTATAAATTTTAAATTGAAAATAATTATAATTCTACCTTGATATTTTATTATTTTTGCTTCATAAAACTCAATTTCATATTTTCATTTTGTTATGTTGAGGAAAAATCATTAAAAGATTCAATTCATAGTGATATTCATTAATAATCACATTTCGATCTATAAAACCCTAACTCTCCATACCAAATGACACTCTCACAGTGTCACAAATGATAAAGAGTAAGTAAATAGTGATAATCACCAATAGTCACAATTCGATCTATAAATCCCCGCCTCCATGGTAAATGACACTCTCACAATGTCAATAGCCAAACAGAGAATAACACTGCGTTCACACAAGACTTCTAGATGGGGCATCATAATAAATATGAAGAATATTTACATAAATTACAAATCATATTAAGCATGATTGAGCAGAATTACAAGATAAAAATGGTTATTGGAAAAATAATATAATGTATGGCTCATTTATATTTATTATTTAATAAAAATTCAACATTTGTTTAAAATGATCATGGCCTATTTATAAGGTCGAACAGAAAGATCAGCTGATCATCAACCGTGCTGTCAAAAGGCCTTTCTTTATTGACAGTAAGAATCGGATTTTCACCAAAAGTAGCCAATTTCGATTTTCCAACATGAAGATCAGCTTATCATCACACTGAGCTGTCAAAAGGCCCGATATAAATCAAAGGTGGCCAATATCGATTCCTTTCTGGTCGATTTGTTAAATGGACCATCATAATAACATTCATTATATTAATTATTTGTATTAAATTTTTTTATAATTTTATAATGACGAGCTGTCAAAGGGCCTTTCTATTTTGACTAGCTTATTTTATCAAAAGCCAATTTCGATTTTCCAACATGAAGATCAGCCGCGCTGTCAAAAGGCCGTTCGATGGTGACAGTAAAGGGCAGATCTTAATCAAAAGTGGCCAATTTCAAATATTTTGATCGATCTGTTGAATGGAATTCTTAATAACATTTAAAAACTCTATTTTTGGTTTCATTTCCCAACATGAAGATCAGCTGATCATCATCCGTACTGTCAAAAGGCCTTTCTATTTTGACAGTAAGAAGCTGATTTTTATAAAAAGTGGCAAATTTCGATTGCTTTCTGGTCGATCTTTTAAATAGACCTTCATAATAACATTTAAAAACTCTACTTTTTTGAAATCTACTTTCATTTTCCAACAAGAAGATCAGCTGAACATCACCCGTACTGTCAAAAGGCGTTTCTATCTTGACAGAATGGGGGTGTTTTAAATCAAAAGTGGCGGATTTACTTTGCTTTATGTTTTATCTATTAACTGAACCATAATAATGACATCAAAAACATTTTTTTAACTTCTTTTCATTTTCCTCTTCACTTTGCTTTCAAGTTTTTCCATTGATCTCTTTAAATCTTAATTCTTTTACATATATAAAAAAATAATATATTTTTTCTACCTTCTTAATTTTTTTTTCTTTAAAAAAATGTTTTTGTTATGGGATTTTCTTGCCTTTTTTCTCTTCGGGGTAAAATTATTTTTTTTTTGGGATTTTTTTCTTGCTTAAAATTTATGAAAATATTTTAAGTTATTGGTTTTTTTATCATTTATGCAGCAGTCTTGTTTGTCTAGTTTATATTATTTTTTCTATATATATTGTATATAAAAATATTTTTATATATCCTCTTACGCTCAACTGACGTTCCTCTTCTATTGTTTTTTTTTTTGTAATTGTCACAATTCATATGCACAGTTTTTTTGTGTGGAAAAAATATATTTATCAGACTCTCTTGTTTTCTTTTGTTCCCCAGTTTTCAGGTTTTTCCTTGGAGAGCAAATTTCATTTCGTTTTTACTTTCCTTGTTGTCATCTGCATTTCTTCCTATGATGCCTTGGCAAATTGTATTACCGAACTGTGACGCATTACTTTTTGATCCATTTCCTTGGCACTGGCTGTGGCCGCCGCCTCTAAATCACCAGCATCGCCGGCACAATCATTCATATAGAGTTTACGTTTTCTCAGCGGTAGATCACGTTCCGCCATTAACATATCACTTTCGGGTGATGAGGATCGTTCTGGCGATTCGCCAGATGGATGTAGTGGAGCGATGGCGGCTTCAACTTGACGGAGGAGCATTTCATTGTTACGAAGAGAGGGTCTGTAAGGAAAGAAAATTAATAAAATAATTGAATATGAAATTGTAATGTAGAAAATATAAATTTTTATTAAGTTATAAAACTGAATTTATAGGAGGAGGTTTAACTGAATTTTCTAAGGAAGCTTTAAAAGAGACGAAAATGTAGCTAATAATGAGAAAAGAGGGTAAAACTTCCTTTCCACCAACATGTTAAATGCACATTCAATGCTTGACATACCAGACTGAACTCGTTCATAATCATCGTTCGTTCATTTCAGAGAATCGTTCAATTGAATTAAACAACTCTCAACATATTTTGACGTATTTGCATTTAAAGTTATAAAAAATATATATTATTTCTTGGTTTTAGGATATCAATTATCAAAAATTATGATTATAATCGACTGAGGAAGAAGAGGACAAAGAAAGTGTATAAATTTATATTCTTAATGAACGGGAGAGCAAACTCTTTGCTTCGCCTCCAATTTAACTTTAACAAAACATTCAATGGCTGATATCGACGCAATTAGCTAACAGGTGCATTTCAGTGAATCGTTCAATTGAACTAAACAGCAGTAAACTCACTGTAACGTATTTGCATTTAAAGTTATAAAGATGATATTTTTAACCCCATTTTAGGATTTAAGAATCAAAACGTAAGAAGTAAATTTACTACCGAGTAATCAATAAGAAACAAAAAGGAAGACACCAAGTCAGACACTCGCATCGACTTATGTATAATATTATATCCATCACGAGATATCCTAGAATGTACATAAACAATCTGAGGTCTTTATTTATTATATGGATCGTCTTGAGAACCTGATATCGTTTTGACATATTTGCATTTAAAGTAACACTGCGACATCAAAATATTTTACCATCGAATAAGGGTTTCTATAGTCGAAATTAAAACGATGCAAGGAAATTGTATCGATTGACCGATATGATCATGAAGATGATCCACTGGTGTTATAAGCAGACAACCTGATGTAATTCTCATGGCGCTGTTCTGGCAGATCTTAATATTATTCCACTGAGTATCACTTCGCAAATCACTCAGTGACTTCAGGATCCGACGCCATAATCGAGCAATCATCCGCATGCATTACGATCTATATGCGGTCCGGTGGTTGTGAAATATCAGAAATGTAGAGTATAAACAGTTCCGTAAAAAATCGACCCACTTTGGGGAACTATCCCTTTAGCTCGACTGGTCTTCGAGTTTGGGTCTCTGAATTCCACATACGACTGGCGCCCAACACATACAGTTGTTTATGCAAACAAGGCTGCAGATTGTTCTTCTTTATGTCCTCAAACAGTTCATCATGGTTGACGGTTTCAATAAAATATGTGTGGAAATTACGGAATCGAGTGTCGAGTGATTCTCATCGATGGAAGGATCAACTATCAATTAACTTTGCTACTGGTGGCTTAGGACAACATAAGGGCTAATCTTAAGTTCTCGATTCCGGGTTCATTCATCATGCGTAAGCATTCCCATGGAAATTCAGTCCAGATTCAACACTTTGGATTACTCAGCGCTCCTGAGGGCATCTGCTTCTCGAAAAAGAGAGACCTTGCCAACACCTAGTTGATTATCCAAAGTTTCTTACACGGCCAGCGGTTGGTCTTTGGCCAATATCCTCGATAGTTTCACATATGGTTGACAGGTATATAGCGAAAATTTTAGAGGATGGGGATGTCAGGGAAAATGCCTTTCAGATTATCCGTACATTAGGCCTTAATGTTTATGTACTCTATTGCCGCAATATTCAATCCATCATGCTTAAGCATTCCCATGGCAATTTAATTCAGGTCCAACACTTTGGATAACTCAGCGCCCCTGAGGTCATCTGCAACATATTCCTTCGTAAATTATGGTGGTTCTTCCTCGGCTGACAGAGATCTTGTCCGATGTAGCACACTACTCTTGACTGTGGCACTCTCTGTCGGTTAAAATAAAACCCATACTTCTTCGGATCTGCCACACTTATAGTGTTAAATGTGAGAGCCGCCTTTTTGTTCTTCCTTCCAGCGTTCGAGAGTGACTTTACCGTTGTCAGCAATCTACTTGTTCCGGCTACAATTTGTATATTAGAAAGTCGAGGATCTGAGAAGATGGGGTTGCTTTCTGAAGCGGTGATAGGAAAATGCTCTGAAACTTTGACAACCTGTCTTTCCATTGTTCAGAAAATTACGGCATTTAAAAAATGTGAAGTCGAGTGGTCTTTAACAGAGACGATGGCTTGGTGGATCATCATCATATAAAGAAAACTTTATGATTTTTAACTTCGAAAGGTCCCGCTGGGCGCAGTAGCCCGTTTTGACGTATTTGCATTTCAATGTGATTTTGTCAGTAACTGATTTTTTCAATGTTCCAACCGAAACAGTCATCTCTTGTAGCTTGATCATCAAATTCTAAAAATTCCCACTGGGATCTTTACACAATATTGACGTAAATGCAAATACGTTATAAATTATTTTATCTGCGTGATTTCGTGTCTTTCAATTTATCTTCTAGAAATCAAGGCGTAACCAGATTTTTTATACAGTCTGATCTTTAAAATCAATATTTCCCACTGGGTACCTAAATCGATTTTAACGTAAATTTCCACTGGAAGCTTCCCTTATTCTTGGCGTATTTGTATTTAAAGTTATTTTTTCTGCACGATTTTCAGTCTGTCAATGTGTCTACTTTAAGTCCTTTAGGAGCTCGTTTTTTTCCTAAGAACTTCCACCTGAAAAAAAAATATATCTTCACGTTTCCACTCAGATCTTCAGTTTCTAAAAATTCTCATTGGGAACTTCCATCAAACTTGGCGTATTTGCATTCAATGTTATTTTCTCTTCGTGATGTTGGTTCCTTCCAAAAGTTCTATAGAAAATCCAATTTTTCCCCCTACGAACCACCATACGAAACATTTTTCTCTTCAAGTAAATATATAAATAATAAAAATACTCACTCAAATTTCGGCACCGGTGCATAGCCCTTCACCAAACCCTGCCTTGTCAATTCGCTGCGCTTATAGTGTTCTATGAGATCGGCGGCATCCTGATTCGAATCACTATAATGTTCGATCAACGGTGCGATTAGACTTTGATGTATGCTGGGCGGCAAATGATGAGGCTGTCCTTGGTGTAACTGTTGTTGCTGGTGGTGTTGCGGCTGCTGCTGATGATGCTGCGTCGTCTGAAGTTCCGAATAGATCATGTGATTCGTTTTCTGTTGGGAACGTCTGAGCTGCATTATTTGTATGGCCGCCTGGACATCATCTTCATTGCGGCTGACCAAGGTGGCAGCTTCTAAGAGGGCAGGATTAATGGTGGGTTGTTGATGGTGATGCTGCTGCTGTTGGTGTTGTTCGTAGAGGCCTGAAGAATGATGTTGTTGTTGCTGGTGCGCATGATGATGATCTGGAGATGCTGTCATATAATGATACTGTTGTGGGGGCTGTGGTGATGGTGTCGTGGAATAATGATAGCCCATATTCTGTTCCAGGTGATGCGGAGAAGGTGAGGGTGAGTTTTGCTGATGATGCTGCTGTTGTCCCACACTTAAATCTGTGGGCATTTCATCGGCCAGGTTGAAATTATTCGCTCCTTGGTGGCTCATGTCCATAAGAGTGGCCGCTGCCAATTGCCGGGTACATTGTGATGTGGGAATGGAACCACTGGCCACACCACTATCACGACTGTGATGATCGGTTTCCATGCTGAGCGATAAGGTGGGTGAGGCCACTGAGGATGTTGGTGAACCGGCTGATAATCGTGACCCAGAAGTGTAGGTAGATGAGGGAGACATTGAGGAGGATGGTGAGCCGGGAGATGCGGGGCTTAGAGGTCCAGAGGTGCTTATGGATCTCGCCTTTTCTTGTCGTGGCTTCCTTGGCTTCGAGGAGGTACTTGTACCTATGCTGCTGCTGGGAGATTGTGGAGAACTGGGTCCGGAGAGTGTTTCAACCCCCGAGGTTGTGGAAACCGCTGAGGAGGGTGAATTATTGGCCGAAATCGAACCCGATTCTGTTGGATTAGAGTTGGCAGCTCCACCCTCCTCATCCTCATCAACCATTTCATTGGCATGACCCTTAATGTGGGCCTCCATTTCCTTCTTACTCTTAAAGGTCTCATCACAAATGGTGCATTTATAGCACTTCGACCCATAATGCTGAACCTTGTGCAGTTTCAGAACATGATTGTAACCAAAATCACGGAAACAAATATCGCAATGATAGGGTTTCTCTCCGGTGTGGGTACGTGAGTGGACCTTCAGTTGTTTGGAACAGGTGAAACCCTTGCCGCAACCTTCAACGGGACATTTGTAAGGCTTCTCACCGGTATGGGTACGCATGTGTATAACCAATTGCCCCGACTGTATGAAGGTCTTTTCGCATACCGAACATTTGTGAGGCCTCTCGCCGGTGTGTATGCGCATGTGACGATGCAGTTTTCCCGAATGTTCGAAAGCCCGACCGCAGACATCACATTTATACGGCCGCTCTTTGGTATGGATACGTCGATGGACCTGAAGATTTTCCTTGACGCTGAACAGTTTGTGACAGAATTCACATTCGAAGGGTCTTTCGCCAGTATGTGTACGATAATGACGAATCTGCGAGGGGTAGTTGAGGAAGAGAGGTTCAAATTAATGATAATTGTAGTAAGTGTAGGATCTTCAGGATTACTTACCAGTCTTGCGGGTACAGCAAATGTCTTCTGGCAGACATTACACTGATATGGATCGCCACCATTTGAGGCAGCATTGGCATTGGGTTTAATGGGTGGAGTCTTCGGGAGACCCGCTTCATTCATTTCAAAGCCATTCATCATGACACCAGCAGCGGGTACTGCTGATCCCGTAGAACCTCCACCATTCAGCAGATTGCTCATCTCTCCATTTTTAATGTGGGATTTTGTGTGCGACGTATGGGCGGATTTACTGCCAAAGGTCATGCCACATTGTTCGCATTTGAATTGGGGTTTATTGGGATTTGATTTGCGACCTCCCGGTGTGGTTGAGGTAACAGGAACGGCTTGAGCTCCATTCGTAGAACTGCTAACATTTTGATTCATTGCAGGTGATGATGTTGACGAAGTAGTTGTAAGGGAAGCAGGTTGTTGTTGTTGCAGGTGATGATTATTTGTTGCGGGATACAAGGTAATACCCGGTGGTAATAATTCCGACTTGATATTTGTTAAATATTGTTGTTGTTGTTGCTGCTGTTGGTGATGAAGAAGTTGTTGTTGTGTGTTAATACTTGGATTGCCATTCTGATGCAACATTTGTTGTTGTTGTTGCTGCATGTTGTAGCTATTAATGGTTTGTTGTTGTTGTAGATGATGTTGTTGTTGTGATAATTGTTGCATTTGTATTGAATGCTGCTGTAGATGATCTGTGTTGTTGCTGCGCAATGGTCCGCATAATTGCGTCTGACTAGGCTGTTCCGATTTTATAATCAGTGGTGTGGACTGGTAATAAACCATTGTGTTATTTTGTGATTCTGAAATGAGAAGAGAAAATCGGGGAAAATTAGTAAAAAGTGGAAACAAACTGAATTTAAAAAAAATGTTCGGAAATGAGGTTTCCAAAAAAAATATGTTGACATATTTGCATTTAAAGTTATTGAAAAATTGTGAAAATTAATATATGATAAACCAAAATACAAAACTACTGCGAATTCGGTTGAAAAATGCGCCCAAACTCCCCAAAATATCGAAGTTCGGCATGTATCGATATATGAGGACTACTCGTAATAGTGAACCAATGTTGCTAATTTTTAGTAGGAAGATTTTCCATCCAACGAGAACCCAAAATTCCAAATTACAGACAATTCGGTTGAAAACCCAGCCCAAGAACCCCAAACATATCGAAATTTTAGGAGTTCGGATATATGGGGACTACCCTAAAAAGTTAAGTAATATCGATAATTTTTGACAGGAAGATTTACTGCCCAATGAGAACCCAAAATACCAAATTACAACCAATTCGGATGTAAAACATGATCAAAATCCGCAAAATAAAAAAAAAATCGGGATGTACCCTTAAACAAATATTTTGACGTTTTTGCATTTAAAGTTATCAAAATTCATCGGAAGATTAATAAATGAAAAATCAAAATACCAAATTACAGCGAATTCCGTTGAAAAATGTTCCCAAACTCCCCACAACATCGAAGTTCGGCATGTAACATTATATGAGAGCTACCCCAAAATAGTGAACCAATGTTGCTAATTTTTAGTAGAGAGGTTTACCACACAACAAGAACCCAAAATGGCAAATTCTACTGAAAAATGTGCTCAAACTCCCCAAAAAATCAAGGTTCGGAAGGTAACGATCTATAAGGACTACCCTAAATAGTGAACCAATGTTCTTAATTTTTGCTAGGGAGGTTTACCACGCAACAAGAACCCAAAACACCAAATTACAGGCAATTCGATTGAAAAACGTAGCCATGATACCGATTGATTTTCGGAAGATTCCCTTATATGGGGACTACCCTGAAAAGTAAAGCAATATCGATCATTTTTGGTACGGAGATTTACCACCCAATGAGAACCCAAAATACCATATTACATGCAATTCGGTTTCAAAAAAAAACCCCATCAATCTCCCCAGAATATCGAAATTCGGTAGCTACCCTTATATGGGCGCTACCTAAAATTGAATCAATTTTGATAATTTTTGGTTACTATCCGTTAAGAACCCAAAATACCATACTAGAGGCAATTCGGTTGAAAAACCTGTTCAAGATCCCCAAAATATCGAAATTCGGAAGGTTTCGTTATATGAGTGCTAGCCTAAATAGTGAACCAATGTTGCTAATTTTTGGTAGGGAGATTTACCACCCAATGAGAACCCAAAATGGTCAATTATAGACAATTCGACTGAAAAATGTGCCCAAACTCCGCAAAATATCGAAGTTCGGAATGTAATGACATATGAGAACTACCCTAAATAGTGAACCAATGTTGCTAATTTTAGGTAAGGTGATATAACACTCAAAGAGAACCAAAAATACCAAATTAAAAGCAATTGGACGTAGCCAAACTACCCAAAATATCGAAATTCGGAAGGTATCTTTATATGGTGGCTACCCTAAAAGGTAAAGGAATATTGATAATTTTTTGTGGGGAGATTTACTACCTAATGAGAACCCAAAGTACCAAATTACAGACAATTCGATTGAAAAACTTGACCAAGAGCACAAAAATATCCAAAATCGGAAGTTCGGTTGAAGTGGAGCAATGTTTATTATTTTTGGTAAGGAGATTAACTATCAAATGAGAACCCAAAGTACAAAATTACAGGCAGTTTACCACCCAATGAGAACTGAAAATACTGTTGGGCTCCAAAAAAAATATTATTTGAAAAAATCGACGCTTCAGTAAGCCCTTAAAAATATTCTCCTAAAAATCAACGATTCTGTCAAACCATAAAAAATATTCTTTTAAGACTCCGCAATTTTCTTTGACCCCTAAAAAATATCTGTAAAACATTTAAAGTTAAAAATCTGGTGATAATCTGTGAGGTTATATCAGAAGCCCTTAAAAATATTCTCCTAAAAATCAACGATTCTGTCAAACCATAAAAAATATTCTTAAAAAATTTCTTTCTACTGTTAAACCTTCTAAAAAATCCATGCATCTTTTTGACGTATTTACATTTAAAGTTAAAAAATCTGGTAAAAATCTGTGAGGTTATATCAGAAGTATGGATTGCTGAGGTTCGCAAATCTAAGCTTCTGTTAGTTCCTAAAAAGATATTCTTAAAAAAAGGCCTCTCTTCTGTTAGACCTTCTGGCGTAGCATCTTTTTGGCGTATTTGCATTTAAAGTTAATAAATTCTGCTCAAAACCTGCGAAGTTATATTGGAAAGGTCCAAAAAAATCTGTTATAAAGTCCAGTCTACAGTTAGATCTTAAATAAATATTCTTAAAATCACCCTCCATTCTTTCAAAGCGTCACGAATAGTTTTTAAAGGAAATTTAAGGTCAAGCCTATGTAAGACCCAAAAAATTATTTAAAAGATCCGCGCTTCTGTTAGACCTTAGAAAATATGTTTTTGTTTTAATCAAGGCTTCGTCGGACCTTAAAACATCATCAGGACTGTTTTGACGTATTTGCATTTAAAGTTAATGAATTCTTCGAAGAACCTGTCGTTTCGCAAGATTCTGTCTTCTTTTATATGAAAAAAAAATCATCGGTTCTATTGGACCTTAAATAACATTCATTACGAAATCTACGCTTCTGTTAGGCCTATTTTTTTTTAAAGCGACGCGCCTTTTTTAGACTTAACAACATTCTTTAAAAAAATCCACTCTTCTGTTAGTTCTTAAAAGACCTTCAAACTGTTCTATAAAAAACATGCTTCTATAAGATCATAAAATATTCTGCCAGGTTTTTTTAAATCCGAACTTCTGAATAGGTTCACCAGCAACAAATTATTTCCTTTCTTTTTGCTGCTTTCTATTTATTTTTTTTTTTTGCAAAACGCCATTTTGTAAATATTTTCATATCCAAAGGAGAACTTCCAAACAGATACAGAAAATATGCCGGCCGGTACCCAAAAAATTCGAATTGAGATGTCTTGGCAAAATATAGAATACATACACACAGTGTCTCCCCCAAACACCAACAACAGGAAAAATCATCCCCCCTGCTAAAAGAGGAAATGAAAATTTATCAAAATATTTACACCGGTGCCAAACAAACAAAAACAAAAACAACAAATACAAAATAAGGAAGTGTGGGGAAGGAATGGGTGAAAACCCACCCTCACTCACTCACCCACCCAACTACGCACAATTTCTAAAAACTACGCTTGAAAATGTTCCTGAAGATTGAAATATTCTGTAGAGGGTCCAAATTCTGTTCGACCTCCAAAAAATACTCGTTAAAAAGTCCAAACTTCGGAAAGACTACAAAAAAATTTCCACTAAAAAATTTACGCTTCCGTATGACCTTGAAAAACCAGTAAGGAAAGTAGTAAAGTCGGACGGGGCCGACTATATGATACCCTTCACCACTATGGATATATTAAACAGGACTATTAACATGAAATTGGATGAAATAAAATATGTGATATTTATCTAAATGTGAATCTACCTATATATCCATAAGTTATATAAATCGACTTCAATCAAATATAAATAGGTTATCTGTTGGGCTATGTCTGTACTTCTAGAAAACGCAACTACGTAATTCTATGCTCAATTTTGTACGTTGTGCAAAATTTGATGTCAACCTGACTAGCATGAAGAGTTTGATGTCCAATTTACTTAAAATCGGGCGAAAATATATATGGAAGCTCTATCCAAATATATCGAAGGATATGTAGGGACTTTGGTGCACCATTTACATGAAATCGGACGAAACTATATCTGAATCTGGGCCGATTTTCTCGAAACTGGGCAGACATCATTCTAGGCTCAATTCAGTTCGTTATGCCAAATTTCCTGCAAATCGAAAGATATATAGGGACTTTGATGCACTATTTAACTAAAATCGGGCGAAGCTATATATGGGAGCTATATCTAAATCAGAAAACTGGGCAGACATCATTCTAGCCTCAATTCAGTACGTTATGCCAAATTTCATGCAAATCGAAAGATATATAAGGACTTTGGTACACCATTTACCTTAAATCGAAGGAAGATATATACGGGAGCTATATCTAAATCTGAACCGATTTTCACGAAACTTTGCACACATCATTCTAGACTTAATTCAGTGCGCTATGCCAAATTTCGTGCAAATCGAAAGATATATAGGGACTTTGGTACGCCATTTACCAAAAATCGGCCGAAACTATATATGGGAGCTATATCTAAATCTGAACCGATTTTCACGAAACTTGGCACACATCTTTCGTGGCTCAATTCAGTACGCTATGCCAAATTTCGTGCAAATCGAAAGATTTTCAGGGTCTAAAGTCCGAAAATCGGGCAAAAATATATATGGGAGCTATATATAAATCTGAACCGATTTTTCCCAATTTCAATAGGGTTCGTCCTTGGGCCAAACAAATGAGCTGTGCCAAATTTCATCCAAATCGGATCATAAATGCGACCTGTACTTTGTTTACAATTTAACATGGACAGACGGACGGACAGACATGCATAAATCGATTCAGAAAGTGATTCTATGCATATTCTCAAAAGGAACCATGGGTTTTTCTTTTCTTATTATTGCCTGTTACAAACATATGCACAAAGACATAATACCCTGTACCACAGTGTGGTGAAGGGTATAAATATATGATAATGTCTGTAAAACCTCTAGTCCATAAAAATCATTCTTGAAAAAATCTAAGCTTCAGTTAGACGACTAAAAATATTCACGCTTCTGTAAAGACATTTAAACATCTTGATGTATTTGCATTTAAAGTTATTAAATTCTCCCAAGAATCTGCGGGGTTAAATCAGAACTATGCCCGCCAGTATGTTGAAATTACAATAGGGCTCACAAAATTTAATATAGAGCATTAAAATATTGCACATAC